CCCCGTCCCAGCCTCCCAGCCCCACCCGGCACACTACAGCGAGCCAAAGACAAAGGCGAATGCTGAATCCTTCGTGCGCAAATACTGCATCCACGACAACACCGGTACAGGCAGGGGCGGGGTGAGGAGAGTAGGGGGTGGCGAGGGGCGTTCTCACGGGGCGTTCTCTTCGCGCCAGCGCGCTCATCTGACGCCACCGGCGCATGGCATAATGTTCCCCCCGGCTGAGTGAGCAGTATCACGGCGGCCGCCCGACTTTGGAAACAACTCGTGACGTCAACTTCAACTTCACTGAGGGGTTAAGACGTCAGTTCACATGAACTTGAATCACCGGCAACTTCGGTGGGACGTCAGGCCGCCAGCGGACCATCCCCCGCGCCCCAGCTAGTGCTGGACGTGGTATACATGGTGTATGCTACACACCCAGAGAAGTAGAGAGCCCTATCGTACGGTAGTGCCTCCCTCGGGGGCAGCGGGCAACCATCACTTTGTGGCTGTCCCTGAAGGAAGAAACCATACGGGGTGGTTGCCACTGCCTTTTCATTTCTCTGGGTGCACGCGGTTCGTGCTGACGAGCGCAGCCTTATTCTCTCGCCACCGTTGTTTTTGTAACGACCCGCATATTAATAAAACAGACTGTGTTTTGCTCTCCATGGTTATCGAACCCAATCAGCTCGGGCTTCTCCAGGAATCCACCCCCCCCCAATTTTGGTCTTAATTAATAACACCCCTCCCCTCTACCGCCTCCAGCGAGCACCCCCCCCCCCTTCCCCCCGAGTCACAGCGAGAGCAGCAACTTCCAAGTAGTACCGGTGAGCGAGCAAGCGACAGGCAGAGCGAGGGGGGAGGGGGGCGGAGTGGGGGTAACAGGGGGAACAGCTATATTCCAATAACTTAGCCGAGCTAAATTGTAATTTTTCCACTGCGCTGCGGCTGAACGCTTGCCGGTGTAAGCCCCGGAGCCCTATTCAGTCATCCTCGCTCGCGGCTCATCCCCTTCCTCCTCCTCCCCTTCCATCCACCCTCCCCTCCCTCTGGGGCCGAGCGGGCGTAAGCCTCTCCCCCAGCAGCTCTGGCGCAGCCAGCGATGGGCCCTAACCAAACCCACCCTAGCACACTACACTGTCCGCAAAATGAAGATGCGAAACGGTCTAGACGCCCTTGAAGCAGAAAACGCGTAGTAAAAACTACACGTTTTTCCGAACAGGCGCCGGGCTGATTTGATGGCTTGACACGCCTGTTGCCTGCAATTTTTACAGGCGGATCGCACTACAAATAATAAACTAGCCTGGATCCAACCGAACACCACTGGAAACAGCTGGAAACCGTATCGAGTGAGCAGTTGATTCCCGTCCGTAAAATGATGGGAGCAAAACTTTTCGTAGTTGTGTTTTTTTTTAATATATTTTTTTGATATAGTTATTACTGTGGGCTTACCGTTGATGGGGCCGGTGAGCTGCGGCGCTGCCCAGTCGCCTGCGGGCAGAAAGAGACGGAACGATCAAGTAATTTTTGCACACGATGGAAATTGGTGCTGCAGGAGTACCAGCATACGCGCGGCGACCCGGTACCACACGTACACGACGGAGGAGGGTGGTGTGCACCCATGGCACTATACATCAAGCACTGCACACACACGTACACGATGGGGAGGGTGGTGCGGCGGCAACGTGACACCCCCAACCGGACCGGAAATAGACACATCGAGGGGCCGAAAGCCAAAAGCAAATGGCATCATCGGAGTATACGAAGGGGTAGGAGGGGCGGGGGTAGGAGGGGGCGGAAGGAGAAGGAGGGGGGGGGGGTGCTAGAGAATCAAAAGGTTGCACCGGCGGGGTGGGCCGCAGGCCGGGTCGACGGGTCGACGTCCGCGCGTCGCTTCGACTCTCGATACTTTAATTAAACGGGGATGAAGCTCCGGCCCGTCACTGACGCTGCTCTCGTTATGCAACGCAGTCCGCAGACTTTTGTACAGTTGCTACGGAGTGTCCCCGCGCCACACCGGGCAGTAAGTTGAGTTGCCGCGCGTGTGTCTGAATAAGTCTGAATAAAGATTGGGACGATTTTGTTCCTAAAAAAGGGACCGTGGGTATGCAATTTTGTCCCTATAAACATGGACAGATTGCGTAGAACTTTTACAGTCCACCGCGGCGGGGCGGACTTCATGCGTTCATTTCTTTTCGATCACGCAGCGGCGGGTGGGAGGGGGCTCCAAAGCACGGACACCACGTAACGTGATCTTGGCGATGAGGCGCAAGCCCTCGTCAGCCGCAGGTGGTAACGAACGACGCAACTGGGGGATGAATTGGGCGAGGTGGGGGTTCAAGTGGTGTTCGCCAGCAAAACGTCGGCGATAAAACATTTGGGCGGCTATGCACGCTGAGAAAAGTCCCGGAAACGGAAAAGTCCTTTTCAAAGCACATTGCTTCATTGTGAAGACTTTGATTCGGAGCTATGCAGCAACCGAAACACAAAGCACTTGCTTCGTATACCGAAGCTTTCCTCCGTGCCCTCCGTAAAAACAAAGCGTACTTTTGTAGACTTTTATTTTAAAGTGCAGCACCCTACTAAGCCCCTATGCATTTTGTTGCGCATAAAGGAGCACAATTATGTACAGCCATCATATCATACACATGAACGATTTTTAAGTATAATTATGTACAAAATATGCATGAAATTGTGCATATCTAATGGCTGTTTAAGATTCTGAGAAGTCTTGTACACAACATGATGCATAAAGGTGGGCGCTGATTGAAGTTGAACCCTCTCTCAAACTCTGCGCGGGAGGCGGAGCTGAGCTTTTGCTCCGGCAGACGCAGCAGGACGGAGCAGGCAGGGCAGGGCATCCCCCACACATTGCGGGGCCGGATACAGCCTGCAGGGCTAGGCGCAGGGGCCCCCTGCAGCCCCTGCAACGGCATGGATCAGCCCCGGGGCGGGTCCCTCCCTCCCTCCCCCTGCAATGCCCTGCGGTGCCCTGCGGCGCCCCCTACGGCCCGGCCCGGCCCGGCCGGCTCGGCTCCTGACAGCGGCCGGCGCGCCACCCTCCGCCACGGTCCCGGCTCGGCTCGGCTCGGCAAGGCCGCCCTGGCTGCGCTCCGCGGCGCTCCCTAGGCTCCGCGGTGCTGCGCTGTGCTCCGCCAGCAGCTCCGCCACGTGGAGCCGCGAGGTCGTTGCCCCAGAGCGCCACCCCGGCCCGGCCCGGCCCGGCCCGGCCGCCGAAGCCACCCCTTGCAGCGCCAGCCAGCGCCAGCGCCACCCTTCGGCTGCAGTCCGGCAACAGCGCCTGGGCGGGGCGGGGTGGCGGCGGCGGCGGCTAGGGGCGGCTAGTGTGGCGGCCTAGGGGCGGCCTAGCTGGCTCGGCCTGCTGGCCACCGCCGGTGCACAAAGCACACAAAGGCACACGGCACAGGTGTGCCTCCCGCAGGCCGGCACACTCTGACTGGCACACTCGGGACGATATACTTACAACAACAACAAGAACAAGAAGGCCGGCGAGGTGCTTTTGCTGGCTTCGTGAACCCTACCCTTGCCAACTGTGACGACTTTTATTTTCACCCGAAGTCTGGTTCGTTTGCGGATATTGTGGGAAATTGAGTGAGCGAGTGAGCCATTTCCATACCTCTCTCTCTCTCCACCCTTAGGCATTTAATCCCCCCACTCGCCCTAGTGCCGCCCGCCACCCTCCCCCTCTCTTGCCCGTTCACTTGCACCTCACCCCGTCGCTCCCCGCATCCAAGTCTTCTCGGATTTCCGGTCTCCTCACCGGCCCCTCCCTTCCACCATTTTTTCCCGACATTTCAGAGGAAAGCCCTGACAACTGGCGAGTTTGAGAAAAGACCTGCAAACCCAATGGTACTTGTATGACTTATACCCTCCTGCATACCCCCCAAATGTTTTATTTCCTAAATACAGTAAATATTTTTAAAAAAATATGCAAGAAGAGCAGGTGCAGATATTTTACTACGCTGCGTTATAGAAGAGTTCACAAAACTTAAGTGTGTTCATGTACGTACACACACCTGGGTTAACACAGTAAGGGACTCCACCGACAGTTTACTTTGGTAAAACACATTTGGGCGGCGACTTTTTGCAAGGTTTCAATCAGTTCATCTTCAGATAATCGATGACACCGACAAACTCGACAAATGAAAACAAAAATAGCACGACATTAAAAAATATAATGCGGATGAGTTGTTCAAGTGGTCGGGTCATCATCAAAAGCGCTGGAGCTGTACAGAGAGGGGTGGGGACGGAGGGGAGTGGACATCGCGACCCAAAAGGGTGCAAAAACGCACAGCAAAACGAAACCTAGCCCCGTCGGCTGCCGACGACTAGCAGTCCCGTCACTGCCCTAGAGACGCCTGGCCTGATTCCACGAAATACAAAATACACGAGAGCATTCCGTAATTACCTCAATCAGTTTAGTGAGTCGGGAAGAATAAAAACAATAAATCAAAAGAATCGGAAACAGATACTGGAAACAGCATTTGGTAAGGAAAAGAAAAATGTTAAAAACTCCTGGTTTGTGTTTTTTTTCTCCTCGTTATTACGTCATTTGCTACATTTTCCTAGGTGCGTCACAGCAGCGTCGCTTCGGTCCGGAGGATAAAGGACCCACCTGAGTGTGGGAGCTGCGCAAAGGGTGATAAGGAGCGAGGCGGGGCAGGGCGGGGCGGAGCGGGGCGGTG